TTGTATTTCTAGTGTCTAGATGTTTGCTGAATGAATTAATGAATACATGGGAAGGATTACTTCATATCTTGGTTCAGTTTTGGGCTCCAACAAGATTTTCTTGTAATATCCAATGACAATTCTTATAATAGAAACAATTGTTTACAAAGACGTTAACAAACTTAAATGAATTCATTAAGAGAGAGAGCACCTCAGATCTTGTATAGGTGCCCATTAATCTATACACGGATAGAGAGGAGTGAGAAGGAGAGAATGTGGGCAGACTCACAGAGGATGGACTCAGAGAACCCACTCTGGGAATTCATTTATGAAAAGTGTCAAGAGTAACAAAAAGACGTCAATCCTCTGCTTCAATGTAACCTTCAGGAAAAGACCTTCTGAGCGTGGTCGGGTCTAAGAAATGTAACTGCTCAGCGCTATTTATTTTCTTCTGGAAGGGAACCTCCACTATTTATTTTCTTCCGGAAGGCAACCTCCACTGGATGCTCCCAGAGATTTCTTTTTAAAAAGGCAAAACCTTTTGAGAATAACTCCAAGGTGGTATTAGAGGTGCACCTAAAACCTCAAGAAATGTTAGATATCATGACCAACTCTCATAAAAATCCCACCCCCTCTGTCAGCCCTGTTCAACAACACTTTCTGCAATGATGGAAATTTCTACATCTGCATCGTGCATCGTGGCAGCCACGAGCCCCACGTGGCTATTGAGCCCTTAAAATGTGGTTAGCGTGACTGGGGAACTGAATTTTTAACTTAATTAAATTTAAATTTAAATATAAATCGTAACATGAAGCTAGTAACTACCATGTCGGACAGTGCGGGGCTGTGTTTTGTGTGACCCAGTACTAGTCAGGATAGGCTTGGCTATATACTGCAGTAATAAATAACCCCCAAATATTAGTAGCTTGAAATAAAGTTTTATTTCTCCTTCCCACTCTACATTCATCACATGTCATCGAGGGGTTCTGCTCCACATCTTCTCCTTTTGGGACCATCTTGAATGTTGCTGGTCACTATAACAGAGGGAAAAACAAAAAGAAATCTGGACGGGCTTGTACTGGCAATCAAAGGAATGCTTGGCTCAGAAGTGACACATATCACTTCCGCTCATTGGCCAGCTCATCGTGCAGCCTTGTCCTCCCACCAGAGGGCCAGGAAATGCCACCCAATTATGGAGCCCAGGAGGCAAAAATACTAGGTTAGTAGCACTAGTGATGGAATAAATAAGCATCACTAAAATAACTAATACATCAAATTGAACAGAAAGAAATTAGGTCTTTAAAAGTCAGGTGTACGTCTATACAAGAGAACCAACAGAAAAACATGGGAGGAAAAAAATATGCACAAACACCAGGAATGCTCCTTTTACAAAAGCAAGGAAGGAAGGAAGATTGGAATGATGGTTTGATGTTTTATATATAATTTTTATTAAGCTTTTGAATAGGTAAATCCATTAACTAAAGGAGAAAAAGAAGGAAGCCCAAGCATCCTTTATCTTCTATTATAATTAAAGAGGGTAGTTTTGTCAATTTATACTTTAAAAAAAATCCTTGAAAAAACAAGTCTACCCACTCTTGCCACAGTAGAATCTTACTGAAATTCCAAGTATAGTCTAGCCACAGCTGTTCAAAAGTCTTTATTAGACAATCTCGGAATGAGACGGGACCTTAGAGGTCAGCTGTTCCAATCTCCAAAACGGGCCTCCCTCCTACAGCTTTCCATATATTCGGGGTGCAGAGGAAGTCCACTACTGCGTGGGAGCTCATTCCACGGGTGGGCGGGTGAAACTGTTTGAGAACTCTTCCCGAGGCATCAAAAGTAGCACCTCTGAGCTTTCAATGTACTTGTCCTGGCTCCGCAGCCACCCGGCAGAGGGCCAGCCCCTTTGCTCTCTAGAACCCTCAGCCCTCTGGAGGGAGTTCCTCTGCCCACTGAGTTTCTCTTCCCGTGCCTTGGTCTCCAGGCCCTCTATTCTCCCAGAAGCCCTCCTTAGAGCATGCAACACAGAGTTGAGGTTGGGGGCGGGCACAGCACGGACTTTGAGGACAGAGTCGAAGCATCAAATCCTAGCTACTTAAACCGACCCTGTGTTCTTCTCTGCAGAGGGGAACAGCTACACCTACCTCTTAGTCTTGTTAAGTGGAGTAAATAGGATTAGATCTGTAAATCAGCAGATGCACAATAAATACTTCAGTATGATGTTTCTCTTAAAGTGTGGTGCACAGAGGAAACTTAACAATGATTTAGATGTGATCTGATCAGTGGAGAGTAAACCATTTCCCTTCTCTGAGACGCTCTCTTATTCCTTCCTGTGTATCACCTACAAGTATTAGCATTATCTTTTGTGGGCAGCCAGACATACCATACTTAAAAAGTGCTGATTTCCACTAAGTTACAGCCTTACTTAACTTGTTGACATTTTAAGCCTAAAGTCTAAGAGATCAAATCAGATGAAATTTGATAAGAATAAATGTTATGTTGGATTGTTGCTCTTTAGCTATTTTATTTGTTTTTAATAGACTTTATTTTTTAGAGCAATTTTAGGTTCACAGCAATATTCAGCAGAAGTTACAGAGATTTCCCATATACCTCGTGCCCCCACACATGAGCAACCTCCCCTATTATCAACATCCCCCACCAGAGCACTACATTCAACAGGACTGAGGAGTTTACACTGACACGTCAGTACCATCCAAAGTCCATAGTTTACCTTAGGATTCAATCTTGGTGGTGTGCATTCCATGGGTTTGGACAAACGTATAATGACGTGTATCCATCATTACAGCATCATACAGAGTGTGTTCATTGCCCTAAAAAGCCTCTGTACTCCGTCCAGTCCTCATTCCCTCCCTCCTAACCCCCGGCAACCACTGATCTTTCTGCAGTCTCCGCGGTGTTGCCTCCTCCAGAACGTCATGTCGTTGGAATCATACAGTATGCAGCCTTTTCAGGCTTTGGGCTTCTTTTACTTAGTAACATGCATTTAAATTTCCTCTGTGTCTTTTCACAGCTTGATAGCTCCTTTATTTTTAGCGCTGACTAATATTCCATTGTCTGGATGTAGTACAGTTTATCTATCCACTCACCTACTGAAAGACATCGTGGTCATTTCCCAGTTTTGGCAATTATGAATAAGGCTGCTATAAACATCTGTGTGCAGGTTTTTTGTGTGCACATAAGCTTTCGGGTCCTTTGGGTAAATGCCAAAGAGCACCATGGCTAGATCTATGGTAACAGTGTGTTTAGTTTTACAAGAAACCACTAAACTCTTCCAAAGTGGCTGCTCCATTTTCCATTCCCACCAACAATGAGTGAGAGGTTCTGTTGTTCCACACCCCTGCCAGCATTTGGAGTTGTCAGTGTTCTAGAATTTGGCCCTTCTAATAGATGTGTAGTGGCACACGTTAGCTTTTAGCAAGGTCTTTTGAATCATGGTCCAATGCTAAATATCAGCTGCCTCTTCAAGAGTTGAGTATCCTACAGATTTGATAGGTATGTGATTACCGGAAAGATCGTGGATATTGGAGACAGCCAGACCTGCCAGCTGTACCTTAAGTCTGGTGTACTATCACGGAGGAGTTTTTAACTTCTCTGAGCCTCAGTTTCCTCTTTAGTAAAATGGAAATAATAAATTAGTAATAACAGTACTTACTGCAATGGGTTGTGTAAATAAATTTGCACACCTTCTCTGATTATATTCAAGTGATTAATAAAAATATGTGACCAGAATGGGACTCAAGACCGAACCTTGTGCCACACCACTACTGGCCTGTCTCTAGGTTGCATAACCACCGTTCTTTGAGCACGTATATCTGCCCCACCGTCCAGCCCACAGCGCTTCATCTTTCAGGTATACCTGGACAAGCTTTGTCAAATGCCTTACTAACGTCAAATACTCACTAAGGTAGACTTCTTTGGACTGTTTGTGTGCATTTTTCCCTCTTCCATCTCAGACTTTGGGTGGATAGGTACTATTGTTTAATTCTCTCTTAATTAGTTCCTCCTTGTTCTTCTAAAGGATGTATGGAGGTCTCTGGTTTCTAGGCTACTAAATTTCCTGAGTACATGATCCCCAGACAAAGCAATTTGAGTTTCCCTGGCTTCTTTTAGAAGGAGTCATTGTAGAAAATGAGACGCATGCTAGCTGAGACAGATTGCTCATTTGATTTGAGGGTTGTGTGTGTGCACATGCGTGTGTGTCTGATGCTGCAACAGGGCTTGAACTACATCTTTGGAACTCTTTGCCCCTATCTATCTGTCCAGTATCTCCACCATCAAATCAAAGCTTAGATTCCTCATCACTTTTGCTATCATCACAGACAATTAGAATTCAGCAGAAGGAGGAGATAGCCTGAAATTTAATTCTAACCAGCAGCTCAATCCAAACTCCTGAAATCTGGCTGGGCTGGGGTAGTAATGTGTGTATAATCCAGTTGGTGAAGCAGGAAGCGCCCCCTAGGAAATCATAACAAAGAGTCTTAAGCAAGTTTTTCTGTCAACAACTTCATCCAAGAAACCATCTTCCCTGGAGACTTTCCTAAACTTTAGAATCCTCTCCTTGCCACAGAGTCCTTTTGTAGGGGAAAACTGTAAGTGAACACAGGAGTGACAGGCCTCTGTAAGCACCAGCTCTGGCTCCAAATTCTTTCAGCTGTCAGTCTCCATCTGTCCTGTGGTCCTTCTGTCTCAGGGATCTCTCGATCGGATCATGAAACGGATGAAGTTATTCAGAAGTCCTCTTCTTAGACTATTTCAGTTTAAGTCTAATTTTTGAGCCAATCAGTGTTAAATTCTAGGCAAATGACAATAGCAATAACCTTCCATTGCTTTTTCTTCAAGTACTATGTACCGTTGCCTTGGACAACATATTTTAAATATTCCAGGGCTAGCCCCGGTGGCCTAGTGGTTAAGTTCTGCGCACTCTGCTTTGGCGGCCTAGGTCCAGTTCCTGGGCATGGACCACGTCTCTCAGTGGCTATGCTGTGGTGCTGGCTCACATACAAAAAGAGGAAGATTGGCAGAGGATGTTATCTCAGGGTGAGTCTTCCTTAGCAAAAAAAAAAAAAAAAAAACCAAAAACATTCTAGGTCACAGGTGATGGTACAAATCCCTGGTCCAATGTGGAGTTAGATTTGAAGCTTCCTAGTAAACTCAAGCAAATTAAAACCGAAACAGCAGTAATGTAGCCCTGGAAGAGAATGAAGAATAAACAAAATTAAAATAATGAATAAGATTGTACAGATTGAGTAAGGAAAACCCGTTAAACATTATTGCGAAGTTATCGATAGAATTATATATATTGATAGGAAAGGTGATCATCAATTATAACAGAAGCAGCATCTTACCCCTGGTAATAAGAACAAGGAAAGCTTTAAAAATAATCAAAATCTATCTCCGGCTAGACAAACTACAGCCGTACCTCACCACACCCCACTGTTCAAACCATGCCAAGCCTTGAAATAATATGTGTAAAGTGCCTGGGACGTGGCATGTACCCAGGAAATTTATTTCCCTTATATTTCTCTACTGTAGACATCAGAATACATTTTTTCCATACCTGAAACTGACATTTTGAGATCTTTTAAGAGTCTTAATTTTCAGGCATTGCTGACAGTTACAAGTCCTAATATCCTAATTTGCATTTTGAATCTCCTGAAAAGTGAATATTTTAACATAAATTCAATTTAGTGGAGAAGATTTACAGGCCCCAAGTGTCTGTGTGATTACCACTTTTAGTCTCTTTAACTCCAGCACTCCTGATTTTGCTGATCCCAAGCCATTTATTAAACAGTTTAATTGCTCTAGCTTTTTTCCCTATTGTGGTTCATCTCCTACGGGTTTTATCTCCTAACATTAGTACCAAAGGCCTGGGGACACCAGGAGATTACCCCAATAGTGGCTGACTCTGCCTCCTCCTTTCTTCCATTGCTGGCACGGGCAGCAGGTTTGACACGCAGCATTTAATTGATTTTCTATTGTGACCAATTTACATCTACAGGTGACAACTCTTTGTGGAAAGTCATCAGTAGATCAGAGAGGCAAGGTTATCTTTCTACTTTCTGGTTGCTTAGTAAAACAAAATAATAACAATAGAAATAATAATAATGCTAATGGAACACTACCATCTGAGACCATCCTCATTCAATGTCTTTGATAATTTTAGGAAGGCAAATCCTTCACTTTATAGAATGTAGCTAAAGTACATCCTATTCTCATAACTAGTGGGTTTAGATGGCATAATTACATAGTAAAATCTCTGCCCTAGACAATACTTTGCTTGGGAAGTACCATATTATTGTATTGCCTGTGTAATTCCAATTGTATTTTGGCAAAATAAAAACGTAGGTATTTCATAAAATGCTCTGAGGAAACACCTATAATTCTAAACTTCCATGATCTTTCCAAATTTCTAAATACAATGTCTTAAAAGATTCAGAAGGGAGACATCCTTGATGTGTACAAGCCCTTAGATATCAGCGGGCAAAGAGAGATCCAAGAGAAAGTGGCAAAGAGATGAATCCTGCCATGTGGATGACGTGGGGGAGCAAGTGGTGGTGTAGGGAGTATGCCAGAGGTCACCCTCTAGGCCCCCAAAGCTCTGTGAGGAAGCACAGCCAAGCTGTGGTGGCCAGATCATAGTCTGATGCTTGTGGCTTGGGACACAGCCATGGTTGCCTACAGGGCTGGCTGGATGGCTGCTCTGGGCATGGGAACCCCTTTGCTTCCTCCATCTAAATTGCTGTCCCCTCCACCCACCATGGAAGGCCCGGGTGGAAAGTGCTCTTGTAACATAGGGCTGTCTGTGCTATGGCGGCTTTTGGAGTCGTCCCACCTGGCTTCCTGTGCCCACCAGCAGAACTCCTCTCAGGGTATGGGTACGGTGTGGGAAAACCCTCCACAGCTCCCCTGCCTCCTCAAGATTACCTTGGAAGGCTGGCCTGCCCTGGGTTGACTGAGGAGACTCCTGAGAGCAGCTGTGTCTGTGACAGTTGTGGATGGCCCCTGCCTCCCCATCGGGCCCTTGTGGTTCCCAGAACTCACCCTGAATGAGAGGACTCTTTGTGACCCCTGCGCAGAAGGTGTAGCCTAAGAAGCCTGGAGCAGTGGTGACCGAATTCTCTAAACCATCTCCTGGGTGGGCCAGACCCTGAACCAGGTCTTCTCTGGCACCTGGGGACAGGCCAGGTGGTAATCTGCACCATAAGGTGACCAAACATCCTGGTTTACCTGGACTGTGTGAGTTTTACCACTGAATGTCCCACATGGAAGGGCACCCTCAATCTTGAGCAAATGGGGGCAGCCGGTCACCCTGACCTCTGGCTTCACCCTATCAGCTGACAGAGAGAACTGTGTAGTTAAGGGAATAGTTAAGGCAGGCCTCTACTCCACACGTGTCAGCCGCAGGCCTCATGATGGCTCGAAAGTTCTGTCTTGGGTTGGGGGGCGGCGGGGTCTGCCCACTCCCCTGGGAGTGGGAGAGACAAGAGATGCAAATTGTCATCCTCCTTTCTCAGCCTGAAGACGCTGAGCCCCCTGTCCCCAGAGGGGGAAGGAAGAGTCAGACACAGAACAGAGGTGCTCTGACTCCGTGAGCAATGTCCTCCCACCTGGCACGACTGATTTTCAATTCCATCCATAAGGAGCCTCACTGTGGGGACCTCTTACCTGGAAGGATCGTGGTGATGTCGCCTTTCTTTTCACCAGCATTTGCTCAACCCAGCTGGGTGACGACCTTTCCGGTAGGAGGTCAAAAGGTCACACATTTCTGGCTTTAGCCTCACTCCTGAAACCGTAAACAGAGACTCTTCTGTAGGGAGGAAAAGAGAAAAGCGCCAATGTTTTATTTCCTGGGATCTTTCATGGTGTATTTTTTATGTCTGTTGTAATATTTGTCACCCAAAGAGACATCAAAACACGAGCCAGACTTATCCGCCAATAATTTCCACTGACTCATGGGTAACTCACTTTACTGACTCCGCTCAGAGTTGTCCAGTGCCTCCTATTCAATTCAGTTCGATGCATATTCACCAAATGAACACTTGGGTAAGGCATCGCACGGTGTGGAGGATGGTAACAACAGGAATGGGACTGGGCGAGACACACACACTAGCAGACAAGGGCCACGAGTGGGGTGGAAACAAAGAACGACCACAGCCCTCTCCTGGGTCGCCTGAGGAGAGGGAAAAGCGTGGACAAGTGCTCTTTCAGCCGCGAAGGATGACTGTGCCCTCAACAGTCGAGGACTTCTAGGGAGGCTGTTCCTCGCTGGGGGACCAGCATGAGCTCAGGCCTGGAGAAAGGAAAGCGTTTGAGAGAAATGCAAGTAATCGTGCACGGTTAGAGCAAGACAGACCAGAGATAAAGCTGGAAATGTGGGTTGAAACCAGATGGTGACGGGAGTTAATATCAAGCCAAGGAGTCTGGACATTGCTCCCGGTGATGACTGGCAATGAGGGTCATGCTGGCCTACAGATTTGGAAAGTTTCAAATCCTGTTACAGGAGATATATAGGCAATCTATTTAAACAGACTCTAAGGTAAAATTTTTGAAAATTAAAAAAAAAAGGAAGTGTATATATATATATACATACACTACATTTGTCCTCCGATTCATGTATTTAGTTAGTTGGGAATGCTGGTAGTTTGCATTTTCATAAATGCCTGCGTTTGTTAAGTGTGTGTTGTTCCTGGGTGCTTACTACGATAAAGTTAGGGGCCAAGTCCTCCGAAAGCTAACATCGCAAAATGGGGAGAATAAAACTTCCTGGCAGATTCCTCTAAGTGTAAAGAAGATAACATATGCAAAACATCTCGGGTTGCTCCTGACACACAATGTATTTCTAATAGCTAGTTAGCCGTTGTTAAAAGCGTCAGCATAGATACCATCCAAGAAAAACAGCAAAGAGCCACATTGTCACCAAAGCACGTCCATGAAACCTGCCCGGGGCGTCCTTCCACTTAGGCATTGTTTTTCTAAGGGTCACAATCTGCACAAGCCTGGGTTGCTCTAAATATCTCACCAATGTAACAGAAAGAGAAGCTTCTGGTTTTGGCATACTGAAAGCGTAAAATGCCTTAATAATATTATTTGCTGGAAGCTGCCCACACCCAAAGGGAAGAAATAAACCTGCAGCGCTGGCTCTGCCTCGCTGGGCCCGCACTTCTGCCTCGGGTGCTGTGGGCCATCTGTGGCCCTGACTCCTGGGTTTGGAATTACAGATTTGCTAGGCTGCAAAGAGGAGACATCAGGTTTTGTTGATATGCGTCATCTATTCTCACAGGCACGTTATACTGTGCAATTTTGTATTCTACTTTCTTTCAGCTCATGTGTAGCAGAAACACTCAGCTAAAACAAACAGTATGTAAACTTTATAGGTTACTCTCAAATCAACTCAAGTCCAAACCATCTTGGGAACTTTCCTCGGGGAGAAGTATCCTCTTGCCTTGGGGACAATGGCAGGAAGATGTCCCTCAGTCTTCCTTGCCCCTCAAAAGCAGTAGCTCCCCAAAGTAAGGAGGGAGGAGGAGGGAAAGAGGAAAGAAAAGGGAGGGGCGGAGGAAGAGAGGGACTGAGGGAGAGAGAGGAAGAGGAAGGGAAGTCGGGGGAGAGCAAAAGAGGACGAAGAAGAAAGAGAGGAGAGAGAAAGAGAAACATTATCTGGCAGAACAGTGCCGGGAAAGCAACCAAGGGGAGTTAATCAAAGGATGGCAATTTGGCAGCGGACTGCCCGATTCTGCTTCCCAACTCCTAGGAAAAGAAAAAGGAAACAAGGGGAGAAAAAGAAAGACGGAAAAAAGCAGCAGAGCGGCTCTCCTGCCGCAGTCTCGCAGACGCGACCCTCCCGTTCGGCTGACTCCTCATTAGCTCAGTGAGTCTGACAGCATAATTACCACAGCTGCTGCGCGCTTCGAATAAATAAATACGAAAGCGGGTGTTTAAAAATGTTTTGAGAAGGGAAATTCAGTCATCTAGACAGTCAGTAGGACAAGTTTATTTAAAACTTTTAGATTCTTATGTATTTAGATCATTTGGGAACGAGATAATGAGATAGTTGTCTTTCAGGCTAATTGAGTTCCTAAGCTCCTGGCTGCTGGCTGTCACCCTTTCAAACTTAGCTGTAACTTTCCTTCCTTTAGAAATCTGATCCTGGTGTCTCCATTTACTCTTCCCGGGCTGATAACCTGGTGAAGGCTGGGTGCACTGGAGTGCAGAAAGTGACTTAATGGGATTGAGGGGCTAAATAACCTTTCACAGGAAACAAGATAATCAAATCTCTTTACTCGCCAGTAACGGCTAAAAGAGAAAGCACAAGTTGCAAAGAAAGCTTGGAAATTAAACCATCATTTCAGAATGTCTTGTAATTTCCCTTGTCATGTGGTTTTTGCGCTCCTCTGCTCTCACGCATCATCAATCCATCAGCTGAAGCTGCTTAGTGCATTTAATTATTCAGAGCGCTCGCCGTGCCGTGACTCCACGGCAATTCCAGCTCATGTGTATGTATATAGGCTTCATATCTTCAAAGCCCAAAGGATCACACAGTGCTTTAAATTGAAGCTGCTAACTTACACGGAGTGAGTGCTCTTAAGATTCTGACTAGGGGCACAGCACATATGCATTTCCGATTAAAGTGGATGATCTTTCCTTTTAAAATTAATTAGTGCCTATTTATCTTTTCCTCTCCCTCCTGCCTCTCATTCTCCCAGGACCGCATTCATGTGAACGGTCTTGCATTCAGTGAGTTAAAAGCTTTATAAAGTAAACATTCTGTCAATCTGGGGTAAAGGAAACTAGTGTTAACCCATTGTGTAGACTGATAAACTGAGGTTTATGAAGGCCAATAACACCTGTTATGCTGGAAAAAAAGAAGAAAATTCAGGTCCTTTGACTGTCAGTCCAGAGCTTAGAAGCCCTGTACCATTTGTCTTGCCTCATTCTTTTAAACAGTAAAGACAATGTAACATGAACATTACAGAAAACTCTGAAAAAGGAAAAAAACTACCCACAATCCCCCTAAACTAGAGAAGCAGTTTTATTTTTGTACACAACCTTTCAGTTTTGCTGATACGCATGGTACCTTTTCACAGGTACACTACAACATGCAATTTTATATCCTACTTCCTTTCAGCTCCTATCATAGCATAAACATTTCCACATTACGATCCACTCCTGTGAATTATCATTTTAAATGGTTACATAGTACTGTAGGCTGAGTCACTATACCAACATTTGTCCAACCGGTTGTCTAGTGTTGAATATGTAGAATTTCTTTTATTTTTATTTTATAATTTAAAAAAATTATAGACAACACTGCAATGAAAGTTTTTATGGATGTAGGTTTTTTTTTCTTTCTTTCTCTTCAATTGTTTCTTTGGATAATTCCAGGAACCAAAGTGTAGGATTGGAGGTTGTGACCATTTTTGTGGCTCTGATAGGCTCACTATAATGCTTTGTAAAGCTTGCCCCAACTTATAATACCACGAGCAGAGAATCGTTTCACCACCACCTCACCAGTACCGGGAGTCATTAGTTTGAGGGGAAAAATAACTACTTTAGCAGCTATTTGTATCTATTTAATCATTAGTAAGGCTGTCTATTTATTCCATGTGTTGATATGCTTTTTCTTTCCTTTGTATAAATTGCTATTTTGTGCCTTTGCCCAATTTTCTATTGGATTCTTGATATTTTTCTTATGCAATTGAATGAGTTATAGTGAAGTGAAAAATAACCACTATTGATGAAGAAATCTCAAAACTCAAGGGTGATTGCGTATTTAAAAAAAAAACGAAAAGGAACAGAAACTAAGACAAGATGACAGTGAGGACTGAGGAAGAGGTCAGGGGCACGAGTCTCTATTAAACATAAAATTGAGCCCCTTTAACTGTGAGATAGTCAACGTGTAAGCTGGAGACACGTGGAATCTTTCTTGGGGAGGCTTTAAAATCAACAGATAGAGCATAAGACGGTGAAAAGGCCTGTGAGTCAGGATCTTGGTTCTAATCCTGGTTTTGCTACCAAATTCCCATGTGATCCTTAACAAGCAGCAATGAGGAGTGGGAGGAGAGTGGCTTGGGAGTCTGACCGGAAGTCAAATCTTGGCCCTCCCACTTACTAGCTGTATGACTTTGAGCAATTAGCCTCCGTCAGTCCCAATTTTCTAATGTGTAACACGAGGATAATAACTCCAGCTTCACCAGTTAGTATACAGATTGAATGGGAATTTATGTAAAGCACATAGATGCCCAATCAATGGCAGCTGTCATTATTCTTCCCTGGTGTCAGGGACTCATCTAACAATGAAGATTTGGAATAGTGAGTCTCTAAGATCCTTTCTCACTCAAAGGTCTCTAACTCTTTCCTGAATGGTTTCTCTTTACTTGGAGACTCTTTCAGCCCATGATGCTAACAAATTTAACTAACGTAAGGGCTTGGTGGCGCTGAGGGACTTGGTTTACCCAGATTTCTCCAAGCAACACAACTCTATCCAGCACCATAAGCTGAGTCTCAACCCAACGTCTTACCTAACGTGTTGAAACGGGTTAAGGACAACTTTGTGCATAGAAGGTGAAGAAGTGTGTTACAGAGGACACTTCCTAGCTTGCTTCTTAATATATTCCTTCTTAAGCACTGGTTAATGGAGGATCTAAAAGGTAGAGAGAGAGGTCTGAATTAGGTTAGAAACCTCTAGAAGCAGAACGGGGTTGAGAGACCTGGCTCAGACTCTGCCTTCCCTTGTCCCCACCATCCCAACCCCTGAAACCCTGCCTCTAGAAAGACAAGTATTCTGGTTAAATTTTGAATAGACTAGAC